ACGATTTTTCAAAAAATGCTATATGGGTATCCTTTTCGAGGTATTTGTGGATGCTCAATTCGAATATGGCACTCATTTCTAAATCCAAGATGGCGGGCACGATTTTTCGAATAATTGCAAGTTGGGTATCGTTTTCGAGATATTTGGGTATGTTCAATACAAATATGGCACTCATTTCTAAATCAAAGATCGCAAACACGACAGTTCAAACAAAAGCAATATTCGTAATGAGCACCCCCAAATACCTCGAAAACGATACCCAACTTGCCATTATTTGAAAAATCGTGCCCGCCATCTTGGATTTATAAATAGTGCTATATTCACATTGAGCATCCCCAAATACCTCGAAAATGATACCCAGATAGCATTTTTTTGAAAAATCGTGCCCGCCATCTTGTATTTAGAAATGAGTGCCATATTCGTAATGAGCACCCCCAAATACCTCGAAAATGATACCCATATTGCATTTATTTGAAAACTCGTGTCCGCCATCTTGGATTTAGAAATAAATGCTATATTTGTAATGAGCACCCCCAAATACCTTGAAAACGATACCCAACTTGCCATTATTCGAAAAATCGTGCCCGCCATCTTGGATTTCGAAATGAGTGCTATATTCGTAATGAGCACCCCCAAATACCTCGAAAATGATACCCAATTTGCATTTATTTCAAAACTCGTGTCCGCCATCTTGGATTTAGAAATAAATGCTATATTTGTAATGAGCACCCCCAAATACCTTGAAAACGACACCCAACTTGCCATTATTCGAAAAATCGTGCCCGCCATCTTGGATTTAGAAATGAGTGCCATATTCATAATGAGCATCCCCAAATACCTCGAAAAGGATACCCATATAGCATCTTTTGAAAAATCGTGTCCGCCATCTTGGATTTACAAATAAGTGCTATATTCGTTTTTCATCGACAAAACCGAGCATATCTGTAGGCACCTGATCGACATTGTCGATCGACAGTAACGATCGACATTGTCGATCGACAGTAACGATCGACATTGTCGATCGACAGTAACGATCGACAAAATCGAGCACATCTGTAGGCACCTGATCGACAATGTCGGGCAAATCTGTAGGCACCTTTAACTTAATGATGAGTTAAGCAAGATACAATTTCCCCACTTTTGAGGGAAATGTTATTCCATGGCATCATTATTTGTATATTTGTGTGCGTGCCGACGAGCGTAGTTACAAGTTGCTTACGCCTACATGAATTTGGTTTTTGCCTCACTTGTGACCGTTCGTTTGATATGAAACTATCATTCTATGCGTTATTATTCTAAGGTTTTAACCAACGACATTATACACAAAAAAAAATATTTTTAACTTTTTCTCTGACCATTTTGACCAAAGAAATTTTCTTAATGTGAAAACAATTTGGCATAGTAATTTTTTTGAACAAGCGTGAATTGTCCTAAAAATGAGTAAATTGATCCAAAATTTTTTACTGCTAATCAACTCAATTTCATGAAGGGATCGTTTCATTCTATGAGACGAAAAAAATCGGTACAACCGAAGTTACTCAAATTTGATAAAATATTTTTCATACAAAATTTAATAAAAGGTACTAGTTTTTTTAAATAATTTTTTATAATGCTAATAGAGTGGGGCAGTTTAGAACATTTGAGTTGCTTCACAAAAATGGGAATTCTGATAGATATTTCAACTTTTTTATGGTGATTATAGTCAAATAATAGGTATATCTATTATTTCGCTACTGCAGCAAACAAAGCAAATAAATAATAACGGTTTAGGATTTTATGACCAGATATGTAATATGGGCCTATGCCCAGCAGTGGGCGTCGTAAGGCTGAATGATGATGTAAAAAACATTCAAAGTGTCTCCTTCTCCCTTAATATATGTGTGAACATTTAGCTACTAGTAAATATATGTATAAATAAAAAAAAATATTTTATTAATATTATTTATTGGAAATAAAGCAATAATATTATAAATATTTATACATTTGTCTTATTTATATTATTATTCATACAATTTCCATATTCATAAAAATAAATATGCTACACTTAAAACCCGTCAACAGTACAACGCGTTGTTCCCAGTAAAAAAATTTATATTTAGGTAATTCGTAAAAAACCACATGGAAATAGATTTATATCTGATAATAATTTGCTTGGACATTTTGTGACAACGCGAATTGAAAGTATGTATTCTCCTAATACCTTTTCTTTTGCGTAATCAATAATTATATCGGTAACGGATAGTTAACGAATAGATACACAGTTATATTAGAATGTAAAATTCTACGAAAACGTGGCTTCCAGGTCTTTTCTGTGTCTTCTTCAATTTGTATGTTAGTTAAATACTAGTTTTATCTAGGAAAAACTGAATGTATTCATTCAATCAGTCAAATTTGTTTTCGACTGAGAGCAATGTTCACTAATATGTATTGTTATCTATATAGTAACACGTTGAAGGATGTCACCAGACAGTCTCTCGCCTATTTTGCGCACAGGTATCTCTCCGAGATTGCACTTTACATTAAAACTAGTTTTTCTTCAATCATAACTAGTTAGAACTAACATACAAAATAATATTTATTAAAATACAAAATTCACCATCAAATGATCAACTTTTTCTTGGATGCTAATACTTGTAAACGAAAGTGTTGTCAAATAATACATTTGACTGTAATGGGTTTTAACTCTAACAATTATACAGATAGATACACATTTAAGTCACAATGACAAAAAAAAACTATTATGTATAAGCCATTTCAGAAAGATTTGCCATGTTTTTGGCACAGATAGGGTTTAAGCTTCAATATGTAACTTTTATTAATTATATTAAATATTCTACTTGAACTACACATATATTATGATTGTATTGCATCTAAACATCAGAAAAACGTTTAATAAATAGTTGGTAAATTAGACTTTTGTCTCAGTTTTTTATGTGAATTTAGATTCATACTAAAAGTTATTTGATGAAATAAATTTGAATATCATATTCGTGTTTCTGTAGTACGACCATTTTAGGGTGGGGGCAGACCTAGCGTTTTTCTAACGAGTCGTTCTGCTATTTTGTTGAATTGTTCACGATCTTCTCTCCACATTTTGGCAGCATCAACGTTAGCACCGCTCTCGTCATTAGGCTCTGAAATAAATGTTTTACACAATTTAGGATAATTTTTGTTTAGATAATAATTATGTAACAGTCAGTTACACACATATTAACTGTTACGTTTTGATTTTAAATTTTTGGTTATGCTCGTTAAATTTTCAATTTTGCCTTTCAAGACATACTTTGGCACAAATCATTCTCTGAACAATCACACTGTGCTAAGAAACAATTTTTGAGAGCCTACGCTCAAGTCAAGTCGATAGAAAATACGCAGTAAAGGTTCATAAAACTCTGAGATGTCAAAAGACTGAGAAATCAAAGTCCAAGAATTTAAACAAAGGAGAGGTCATTACAAAAAAAAAATATTTTACGAATAGTGGAACAGTGAAAAGGGCTAAAAATTAATGCAAGATGTTATATATTGTTTTTAAATTGTGTGCACGTACAAACAAAATATTATCAAATCATATTTTTTTATTTAAAACACTATATTTAATAAGGTAATCTCAAGAAACTATTTCCTGTGGAGAGATTTTTATCCCATTGGCCATGTTTCGGGGATGAACAACCTTTTGCTGTACTTTTTGTTTATTCGATTTTTTATTTTTATTAGTTGTATGTAAACACAAATACTTTTAAGCAGGAGTTTGAATAATTTATTTCTATAATACTATTACTTTAATACTTTATTAAATTAAACATTGTTTTATTAAGAATAATAAAACTGAAATTATAAATTGGTCCATTACTATATTATAGTGTTTATTATAATGATTTATTATAAGTCAGTTTTTGATCGATAGGGATGGATAATGGGTCGGGGGGTCAATTCAGAACCTTACGATAACTCAGTTGTCGACTGATTCGATTTGATATCGAACGATTTCTTTTCATTTCTGTTCACAACACCCGAATCGAACGTCAAACTGTTGTATTCGAAGCCGAACCGAAATGACGTCACACCTACGTACGATTACTCGAACTTCGCAACCGGCAAAGGCTACAAACGTTATTCAGGTCATCGAATGAAAGTTACCGAACGTCCTATTGTTTACAAAGAAAGAATGTAATATGGAAATCTCTTATTATTTTAAATAAAGTCTGGATGTCGGACAATTTAAATACTTTATTTTAATCCAAAACTAATGCATTCCTATTTTATTTTAGGCTTTTAAAGAATTAAAAATGTACTTAATGTATAAACGGATGATGATGAAGACCAGGATCCCGATTCAGAACTCTTCGCGATCTAAACCGAATCGTTCGATTGGATATCGTTTCGAATCGGAGGGCGATTTCAGAGTTATTCAGAACATTCGAGTTAAAGCGTTCGATTCGGATTGGGATACGATATCCTTACCCAACAACGTTTATGGAGTTAGTCGGCGAATATAAATTACAAGAAAAATGTAATCCTTTTATATACATTTTTAAGACTTTAAAGGCCTGAAATATAGGAATGTATTAGTCTCGCATTAAAATAAGTTAATAAAATATAACAAAATCCAGATTTTATTTAAAATAACAAAACATTTTCACATTACATTCTTGCTTTGTAAACAACAGGACTTTCAGTAACTTTCATTTGATAACTGTGTTCTGAATAACGTTTGTAGCCTTTGCCGGTCCTGGACCCCGATTCAGAACTCTTCGATATTTTAAACGAATCGAAGGGCGCTTTCCGAGCTATTCAGAATATTCGAGTTAAGCGTTCGATTCGGATACGATATCGTTATCCAACAGCGTTTACGGAGTTAGTCGGTGAAATAGATTAAAAGAAAAATGGAAATCCTTTTATATACATTTTCTAGACTTTAACGGAACATAGGTTGCATTAGTCTTGCATTAAAATTAATTAATAAAATTAAACTTACTTTAAATAACTTACTCTAAATTAAATTAAAATACTAGGAGATTTCCATATTACATTCTTGCTTTGCAAACAATAGGACTTTCGGTAACTTTCATTCGATAACTGTGTTCTGAATAATACCAGTTTGAAGTTCGATTCGATTATTGTGAATAAAAATGAGAAGAAATCGTTCAATATCTAATCAATAATCAAATCGGTCGACAACACAGTTATGGTAAGGTTCTGAATCGACCTGCAGGTTGTCGGCTGAGTATGCGTCATGTTGTTGAGTTTTTGTTTTTGATTGTTGAGTTTTCGTTTTGTGTTATTTTTTTAAGTTTTGGTTTTACTCTGTTGTTACGTTTGTGTTTGCTTGCGTTCGTGTGAACATAACCACTATGGGGGCAGAAAAAAGACCACGATCTGCAATGTCCGTAACTGAGGTTATGGTAATGAATGTCTACAAATATACATTTCAAACCTGGCCACTAAAGGAATATTGGTTTTTGTGCGAGTGTGCGAATAAAATTGTAGAGATTCTGAAGGTATCTGAAAGAAACGTTGGAAGAATAGTTTGCCTGAGTAAAAACAAAAGTCAATATTTGACATGTTAGCCACTGATATAGAAATCGAAACATAGTTTTTGTTCCCAATATAAAAAAAATTCCAAGATGTTTCTTTGGCGTAATTTTTTATAGGCCGTGACACTTCTTCTTCATTTCCCTGTAATTTTTGAAATGAATATATTTTATGACAAAATGATTCTAAACAGTTTTGTAAATTGTTCAACCCCAAACGGGTATTTTTCAATTATAATTTATTGGTCAGAATGCAGTGGACCCTGTTAATAGATGAACGTGTAAAAAAAGGTTTATGATCTATGAGATGTCACTTTGACAGTGACAGTTGTTTGTTTACATTTTTGGACTTCGATTACATCTCAGAGGAGAATAAAATAAATTCGAGAGGGTCGAGTGTCTGGCTCCTGTCAGGATACACGTGTCGAAATCTAATTTGGAACCTTCTGAGTGAAATTGGTTGCCTTTCTTGTATAGTGCTGCAGTTGTGTTTGTGAAGGTAAATTTAGATACTAACTGGTGATGGACGCCGATAATCCCCCTGATGGGGGAGGCGGCTTCTCTGTTGATGGTTTCTTAAACCCAGATTCTCAAATGGATTTCATACAGACGTATATCTAGCCAGACGCCGCAAGTATAAATACTTCGCGTGCCCAAAAGTAAGTGAAATTCACTTAGTTGCCGCTGCTACACGTCATAACGCGCTCGACCGTTATCGTAGATAAACATCAGTCGAAAACGCGAAAAATGCATAATTGTGCCATTATAAACTGTACAAGCACCATAACTGGGTAAACGGATAAATAGGGACGTTTCATTACAAGGGTAAGTGATTTTGTAATCAGAAGACGCATAATTTATTATAACACCAATTATTTTGGTTTTGTATGAATTTCGAGAAAACAAATATGCAACCGAATGTATGCCTCATTATTTGTAATACATTGCGGCTTTTATTTGCGATATGTTTGAGATCCTTTGTTAATAAGCCATGAATATCGAACGAACGCACTTTTGTATAATGCGTTCAGTTTCGTGGTACGGCCGCTTGTACATTTCTTTAGGAATGGGCGTTACAAATCGTATATAGTTATTGAAACTATATATTGTGGCAATATCGAAAATCCGACACATCCGATATATTTTACAGTGATGCCGAATCAAGCCGAGCGATTACTGCGTGGATACCAACACGAAATCATGTATTTTCCAAACTATATACCGATATTGCTCCGTATCAGATTTTCAATATAATATTCACTGAGTGGATATCAACGGGAAACCGTTTTTTGTGCGTCTTCGAAACTGTATACTAACATTAGCCCGCATTAGTACTTGTCAGAACTATATCCGATAATATATAGTTTCGAAATCTGATTCCGCATATCAGTAACGGCAATATATCAACGCAGCGCGGGCTGTATCCATGAATATATAGTTTCAGAAAATATATAGTTTCGAAATCCGATTTCGAATATTGATATATAGTTTCGATACGATATTCAGAAAAAGCTATGTTACCCATTCCTACATTTCTTTGGCCAAATTTAACATTTAGTGATGTCTACGTTAGGCAATACTGTTCGCGATTTCGATCGATTTTGAAAACAAAGGGATGAAAATTATCATGACCTTAGCAATATTACAAAAATATTCTATAACTCGTTTTTGATTTTTTTTTTAGTTTTGTAGTATCTATTATCTGTATATCTGTAATTTCGATATTTTTTGCAGTACGTTGGCTGGAATGTCCGAATATAGTGAGCAAATAATTATATACGCCGCCGGATATGTAGTAAGAGTAATAATATATATATATAATGCAAAGAATTAACAGTGCGCTGTCTTTACAAAAATCTGGAGTTGGTCATACGTATGAGTTCGTTGCTTTCGAGGACGAAGGTGGTCTAGATTATCCCACCTAAGATGCTATCCGAATATGCAGAGTAGCAGAGTTAGAAATCCGAGAAATAATAAACAAATCACAAAAATTTCACACGAGGCCGTCATTAAATAAACCTCTTCTGATTAAAAAGATTTTACCACATTTTGTCAGCAATAACATTTTCATTTGTCTTGCCATTCATCAATTTGATCAATTACCAACAGAAAACCATCTAGTAAAACTAATTAGGGCAGTCGCAAGTTCATATATTGACGGGCATTTTCATTATTTTAAGTTAATCGATAAGATCTTCTATTACAAAAAAATGTTATATAATAGGCTCATTTTATTGGAAGGACAATAATTTTAATATATGAAGTCAATTAAAAATTAAAGTTTTAATTTGTTTAAGTAATCAACATTTTTTTAAAACATAAAATAAAGGACTTAAGTTATCTATTAATATTAAGACTACTTGTCATCAACAAATACTTAAACAAAAATAGTTATATTTAGAATCGATTAATTGAATTGCGTACCCGTGTTTACGTGATACGTGTGTAACGGAATACGCGCCCGTTCAATCAATCGACGAAGGAGGTTTCCATCACTAAATAGTTCTTGTGACGTCATAGTGATTACAAAAAATGTGGCATCATGCAAATTGCTGTACCTGGGGCGTCTATCTAGATATATGTCTGTGATGGATCTCCCACCTAAAATGATAATTCTATGTCTAAAAAACGTACCAGTGATGAAGCATCTTCCCCTAAACTACATCGGAGCAATCTCCGAAACGTTCTTCAAACGTTCCCTCAAATGCGTCTGCTCAACAAACTTATAGTTTGCCCGAATTTGCTGACGGTATGAATTTAAAATATAGTGAATCTAATAAGGGCCCATATATAGTTCACGTATCGAGAGAGGAGTCCAACCCCTCGTTTGGTATTACAATCAAATCATTAAAGTTTGCTCAGTTCCTAAATAACAATGGTATACATGGGATTGCAAAAGATGGTATCAAAAGTACAGGGCGCAATCGGGTTTTATGCCAACAAATTCATTGAAAATTCCGTCCTCTCCAAGAACTCTTACAAAAGCAATCATCCCCGCATTTCACTTGATAAGAAATGGTATTGTTAGAAACTTTCCGATAGAGTGGACTATAGAAGAACTGGTCAAATCCATCCATTGCCCTAATGGCTCCCAAGTCATTAAGGCTAGACATCTAAACAGGAAAGAATACAGTGATAACTAACCACATCTCAATCACTGATAACAATCCAATGATGCCCTTCCAAACAGTAATGGTCTCTTTCCTTGGCAAAGAGCTCACTGAAAGAGTCTTGTGTTATCCATATATCCCTTCCTGTAGAGATCTATACTCTACCAACCATACAACGCAACAACTGCTATTGCTTGTGGTGGTTAAAAAAAATACATCTCAGAGTTTATTTAGTATGTCCGATTTTTGTGAACTTGTAACCAACACCATACAACAAAATAACTTACAGAAGCAAAACAAATCTACACAAATCAAGTCAAAGGCCATTTGTATTCCATCGAGGAATATATTATTTCCTCATGCTATGTTTGGCATCATAACGAAATATTATGCCTTCCGGCATAGCTTTTTCGATTGGTGCAGAGCATACATTTAGTATTTAACTGTAAAACCACTGAAACCATTGCACTAAAATAGTGTCGATAGGTGGCAAAGCCTTCTTTACAGGAGTATCAATATACTGGTCTTCTAAGTGTAATGGAGCATTCCAGTATTAATGGTTATGTTGTTAGAGGAACAGATCCCTTTAATACTAAGTCGATTTGTGCCTCGATGGTTGTTCTGTTTACAAACACCACTATACAAAGGTAAAATTCTGTTATCAAACAGGAGAACACTTGCCCACTGTAGGTACAACAACCATTGATTGAACAATGTTTCAGGAAATTCTGGACAGAAACAAAAAATAATCCTAAAAGAGACATGAAGAGTTTGCTTTTGGCATAAAAACAATGGAAAAATCATTATGGAAAGTAAGAGCATCATTCTGAAAGTCAAACAAACAACATTTAATTGAATTGAGAAAATTTTTGGAGAAACAATAGTACAGGAGGCAGAAGAAGTTAGAAGCATCAATACTAGTAAGGTACATTCTAATCAGTTCATATAATATTTGAATTAAGGAGAGGAAATATACATATATGAAGAAATGTGGTTCAATGTATATTGCATCAAATATATATCATAAAAATGACACCAAGATAGAAACCATAATTAGAAAACAATTATATCCCGTTACTTGATAGCATAAAAAAACGAATTGTGAAGATCTAAAAATCCAAAATTGTTGTCTGCACTGAAAGATCATTGGTTCACTAACTCTGTCAACATACAAATACTAAACAATTACTGCGCATTATATTATAAGCAAGGTATGTAGGTTTCTTAGAAATAGTGAAAAACGAACCATTAAGTGAACAAATGAAAATCAAAACTAACAAAACATTACAGTACACTATTAGACACATCTTAAAATCTAGTATCGTTTTTTTACATGATTTAAATGATAAAGTCGGACAAAGTTATTGACTGATTGACAGAGAATGAAAATAAAATTGTTGAGCACGGACACGTCCTGTCCTACGCCGATGACACCGTCATTGTATTTGATTCAAACTGAACAATTCAACTTGGGAATCTGTATTCGCGAGTGCTGTACAGGGACTTCGTAGGGAAGCTGGATGGCTTAAAGGTAACCTTTTGACGCTTAACACCGATAAAACGAACTACATGTGTTTTACTAAATACACAAGTACTCAACCACTTCAAAACCTGTCGCTTAAAATACACACTTGTAACAAAAATATTACTCAAAAGTGTAATTGTGTACAAATTCAGAGGTTTGCATCCACCAAGTATCTTGGCATCATGCTAGATCAGCGTCTTTCGTGGTACAAATATATTGACTATGTAAATAGTTGAATACGAAAGCACACTTGGCTATTTAAAACACTTAAGACACAGTGCGGACAAAACCTTACTTGATCAATTGTATATCATCTTAGTTCAATCAATAATGTGTTATTGCATTGTTGTGTGGGGTGGAGCTTGTAAAACTAAATTCTTGGAAGTGGAAAGGGGGCAACGATGTATACTTAAGGTAATGTACTCAAAACCTTTCAGATTCCCCACTGACTAACTCTATCAATTTAGTGGTCACCTTACAATGAGAAATACATCCTGGTTACTGTACTAAAACTACATACACACATCAAAAAAAGTTTGCGATCAATAGCATAAGCTCCTATAATTCTTTAAATTTAACTTTATCAAGAAAAAATCTATGTTGTATGCTTTCTTTAAATAGGAATACCCTGTTTGAAATTAAAATATAAAACTATTTTTATTATTTATTTTAAAATATTGAGCCATTAATCATAATGTAATAGTGATAGAAATTTCATAGAAAGAAAAAGACTGTTTAATTAAACTTAAACAACAATTTATGATTAAAAGGTGTGAATTCAATATAAAATAACTCCTCCCCTGGCTCGAATACATGCGAAGATCCTCCTGGGCATGCTGAGGATCAAGTTATCCAGCATTTCCTGGGGTAACCTATCCCATTCTTCAATAGCGGCTTCCCTGAGCTCTGGAACTCTCTGGGGACGTGGCTCACGGTTCCTTACTGCTCGTTTAAGAGCATCCCACGCGTGCTCTATTGGGTTTAAGTCGGGCGAGCCGGCAGGCCAATCTAATCGTGTGATATCGTATTCTTGAAGAGCAGCATTGACTCGTTGAGCTCGATGTGCGGGCGCATTATCGACCAGTACAAATTGGTGCCCATGGTTTACTCGGAATGGTCTGACGTTATCATCAATAGCAACTGCTTTGTACATGTCTGCTGTCATGAAGCCCCGATACGGGATCAAAGGCGTTCTAGCTCCAATCATAATGCCACCCCAAAAGGACACCGATTTTCCGCCTTGCTGAACTGTTCCAGTGGCAGTTCTTTGTATTTCACGGTCGCCTGGTCTTCTCCAGACACGGACACGTCGGTTATCTGGATGAGTGCTGACGAATCCCGGTCAACGAAGAGACAGTTTTGCCAAATGTTTTCGTCCTCACCTTCTTCATTTTGCCGAAGTCTAGCCCACTGCAATCTTCGTTGTTGACGTTGCCGGGAATTGAGCGGAGCTCGCTAAGACCTCCGTGCTCGTAATCCAGCCTGGTGCAAGCAATTGCGAACGGTCTGCGTGCTAACTTCAAGCCCAGAGGCGGCCCTGACTTCTGCTTTTATTTTAGTGGCGTTGATTGTTGGATCACGGGCTGCCAGCAATCTAATATAGCGCTTTTGGGCAGCTGTCAAAACAGTTGGGCGACCGCTGCGGGGTCGGTCAGCTAAATTCCCCATTCCGTGATACCTCTGCAACGTAGCCACGACACAGGATTGGGATATAGCAAGTCTGCGTGCTATTACTCTCGTGGTGTATCCTTCTTCTCTCAAAGTTACTATTCTAGCTCGTAAAACCTCTGATAATCCTCTTGGCATTTTTTCAATCACAACTTTCCGCGAAAAATGTCTTGAATCGCTTATAATTGACTAAATCAGATTTCTGAATGAGCGTAAGCTAGGACTGAAAGCCTTTTTATATGAAAAAACAATTGAACGGGGTCATTGTTTTATGTTCTAATTTATTTTTAAATAAAGAATCTAAAAGAAGAAAAAATCATAATATAATCTACAGTAACAAAAAAGATTTCAGTTTTTCGAAGTGATCGCAAACTTTTTTTGATGTGTGTAAGTCCATTAATTTTAACCCTTCACTCATGTCCCATAGAACAAATTACATTGTTGCTCTCAGCCAATTTCCAAATCATTGTTTGTTGATAGGCAATTTTCAATGAATTTGGCACATATATATAATCTATCTATCTATAAACAAAAAAATTAATATTTATCATCTACAGTGGCATAGTTGTAAAAAGCTTTAAAAGATTGGTTGGTATCAATCAACTATGATGAAAGACAGAAAATATCCCATCCTGAAGGTGTAACCCATATTACATTATTATTGTTATTACTATCTTGGGAACACTCTAATGGTGATGTTAGATATAGTGTGCGTTGTTATTATTATTAGTATTATTATTACCTCACGCAAAATTATGTTACTCTATACAAATTCTTCAACTTGTAGTATCTATAATTTTTAGTACATTATACAAACCAATTAAGGTTTATTTCTGTATACTAGAGAATATTGGAAGAGCGGATCTTCCTGATACAGGTAGATGATACCTACTAAGAAGATCCAATCTTAAACTCTTATTTAAATTTTTGTGAAAAAGAAATGAAAACTATTTTAATTTTCATTTCAAGGATTCAATATATTTTGGACTCAATTTAATATTGTTTCCATGAGATAATAAGTTTGACCATACTTACCTGCTAGCATGCTAACTACAGAGAGCAGTATTTTTTCTACACTCTGCACTGGAGACCACCGCTCAGCACTGCTTTCATAACCCATTGGATCATCTCCAGGCGCATGCAAAATAGAAATGCAGACTCTTCCATCTGCGTAAACTGAAACATTAAATAAGTGTAGATTTTTAGTGAAACTTCATGTCATGCATATATTTTAAAAAGGCATAAAACAACTTACTGTTAGGATGAAACATTTCACAGATGAATTGCATTTTAGGAGGGCTCAATGGATAGTCAGGTGGAAATACCAATTTTGCTGGAAATATGCCACCTTCAAAACAAGTGCCTTCAGGTCCCCTGTAAAAATTAACTGCTTTCAATCCCTACTGTTAAAATAATGTTACTATTTAAATTTAAAACCAAAAGTAATGTAACAATATAATAAGTAATGTACTTACGTAATCAGGGCTTCCCATTCGAAGAAATTTTCTTCATTTATGGGACCAGCTATTATACCCTCTGGAGGGTTTAAAGTAAGCTCTGAAAGTATTTAGAACATTTTTAGTTACAACATATTATTAAGTATAGACAAAGTGAAATTTGATGTGTGCATAATTATTAAGAATGAATACTCCTTACAGGCTGCCCAACAATTTTTTTTCTGGTACATCAGTCTTGTTTTGCAAAAAAACTTAGTGAGGATAGTCATTGAGGAATTAAAAATTAAGATAACTACTACAAACAATAATGAGTACAACTTCACAATATAACAACAAAAATTTTATGTTTTATTTGGAAGAGTCTAAACAAAATAAATAATAACGGTGCCTTTTTTTGCAATAATCTCATTTGATTAATGTGTGCAAGGTTTCTCTGTACACTACATAATAGGGTTAGGTTAGGTTAGTTTATAGTGACCATGAGCATATTTGCCAATTCAAACTTGTATATTTGTTGTTCATAATTCATAATGATTTATATCCAATTACTTATCTCACAATTACACAGCAAATGGAATGGGTTATAAATGACAAAAAAGTGGTTCAAACAACTAAGAGGAACAATGAAACACCATATAGACATTATACCAGACATTATAATAAATAAGTAATGTGAAGGCTCTTGAATACATATAATGTATGTAAAGAGAAACTAGGTACGTGCGAAAAATACCAATTTGTATGTGAATATGTATATTCCTGTTACCAAAAATGTTAGTATAATGCAATATGAAATTATATATGTATATATAATGTATTATGTTTATTCTAAGTGATGGGTACATTCTAGACATCAATATGACATGTATTGGTTTGCAAGGAGGGCAGGACCACAGTAAATAAATATATGAGTAGGAATTCCTGCAAAATAATTGGGGAAAGATTTTGTTCACGGAAAGGTACATAGTTAGCTATTAATGGTATGAATAATAATTTCCATAACATAAGGCGATGATATCGCAAATTCTACTGTTTCACAAAAAGTTCGTTTTCATCAGTAGGTCATTTTGATGTCATTTGAAGGTTTTGTTCATTTGTTCAACATTTTGTTCGTATCATAACATAAAGTATGATCCACCTCAGGAACCCTAGCTATGACGATAACTGCTACACATTAGTAAAAATATTAAACAGAAAAAATTGCGTGAAATTGTTAAAACTTACGCTTATACTCTGCCATAAGTCGCCTGAGCGCCGATCCAGCCATCGTTGACCCGTACATCGAACTGTTCAGTAAAACTTTCTAAGTCAGTAACTCGAAAACTTTGTAAAAACGAACAAGTTCCAAAAATTAAGTATTATCGTGTAATATAACACATAGAGCACAAATGATTTGACACTTTGACATTGACAAGTAACATTAGACAATTTTGTTTTCTTATTTTTTCTTGGCTTTTCGCTGTCAGTGTTTCAGCCACTTACATTTTGGGTTTTTGACGTTTTTTAAAAATGTTTGAAAACGGGATTAGTAAGATGGAGAAAAGGCGAAAGAAGGACAAGAGAGGAAGTATGAGATACAAATAAATCAGTACAAATATAATACACCCTTGCAAGAAAACGGGCACCTAAGAAAATAAACTATTTCGCGTCAATGCAGTTAATTTGATTATTTAAGTAACTAGTATTCTCAGAATCTTATACGAGTTAATGAATATACGGAAAGTAGTTTCTGCAAATATTTTTCTATAAACCTCGATTAAGTTAATGAGAAAATATCGTTCAGGTTTAAGCCGCCAATAGAATACTAATCACCAAGTAACAGATAAACTAAAACAATTTTAATAGTGTAGGAAAAGTAAGTGTGGCCTCCTCTTGTCATAATCACAGCTTGTATGGTACCGGCGGGTAATAAGACCTAGCTAAGGGAGATTTGAAATAACACGAAAACTATCATAGTAAATCAACATATTTTACTAAAAATTGAGTCTTATATATTCACTGGAACAACATATAAACTTAAAATGGCATCTTCTATCTTAAACAAAATCAAAATTAAACATTAAAAAAAACCATGCCAGTACGCCTTAATTTAGTAGTTTTTTTTAGGTTATAGTAGGGTTAAAAGGCAGATTGGCTTTGACGTACAATATAATCGAAATACACACTAAATTCGATACTTGAGATCAATAATCTGATAAATGCAGTTATTTCACATGCGATATTTGCAACATGTTTATAAATACTTCTTTAACAACTAGCAGGGTATTGAAAAGCATCAGCATCGTCCATCCAAAAACCGAGGCACTCCTCGTGACGCGACTCAGAATTTTTTCAAACTGCCACTCTTGAGATTGTTTTTTTATGTTTCTTTTGGAGACCCTGTAGTTATCTGCAGCTTTGTATGAACTCAACACCCCGACACTAAATTTTCCACAGACCATAATGCACGTTTGGGTGGCTTTGTGGTCGTACACACTAAAACCAAAGCAAAAAAAGAATAAAAATAAATCACAAATAATAGGGGTTAAAGTATGAAATTGCCGATTTGTACTGAAAA